TGCGAACCCGTGACATTGTGGTCCAGTGCTTTTGAGATCCAGTCCGTGATAGCTGATTATTGATTCGGGTCCTGTGATTCCCATTGCGTGGTTGGCGTTCCGAATTCCGTGCGTATTACTACGATCACTACAATCATTACATGAGTGTCTCAACATAAACCACCACTTTATCTTGTGTAGTTTTTCTGGGTCAGGAAGGCTACCGAGGGGAGGGGGGGGCAGTGGAGGCGAGGCGGGTGAACAATCTGTATTTGCAATCACTTCCTGTTATTAGTGCAACAATGGTCGTTCAACTTTACCATTTGAGGTGATTCAATATTGGGATCGGAAACACAGCTTGTTATCACCTAATATGAAGGAAATGGACAGATGAGAAGGGGGATATCCCAGACTTTGAGGCACCACATACCTTACGATAGCCTATACCGACGAAGAGGTTTTCTTTGGGAACCCTAACCGGAAAGTTTGATTCAAAAGTCTGACACGCAAGGTAATGGTGGGATGTAGATCCAACTTGGAAGTATGATCGAACCATCCGTGTGGGAGCTTAAAGATACCCGTCACCAATACAGTTAGGTCCTATCACCTTTGGCACCATAAGGTCCTGGAATAAATCTTTATGCCGATTTAATAAAGTGCCCTGATTATGGCAGAAGCAGTGAACACTTGCATCGAAATGGCGTTTAAGTCCTCTAAGTTTTCATGACTCCCATTCTCAGCCTACTTTAATGTTACCTACAATACTAGTTGTTGTTGCATCCAGTTTGGAAGCCCAACCGAAAATTGGGGAGAAATCCGGATGGTTTATTTTGATTTCTTGTAATGCCACACTACCTTTTTGTCCTCTTTACCCCCAAATGTTGTACGTTGTAGTGAACTAAATAAAAAGGAAAAATTATACTGGAAACCAATCTTGTTTTCAATCTCACTTCGTCTTCACAACCGTCCTAATCGATAAAACCAGCTGGAAATGGGTTTTATTCAGCACAAAAAGCTGCCAGCTTACCTCTGCATCAGCCAAATGTATCCAAATCCGGTGTGTGACTGGATCACCGTTTTGTTCACCCTCGAAGGACAACACGAATAGACTGGCAGCGGGAAGTATTTCACGATCGTAGAAAATGCTGAAGTCAAATGTGATCTGTGGGGTGTCTGGTTCCAGGAACGCTTTCGGTACTGAACGTGCATGCATGTGTGTGTGTGTGTGTGTGTGTGTGTGTGTAGGAGAGGGTGTACGTTGAAGGATGAAGGGGAATGGAAGAGGACGAAGTGAATAGTGGATGATTAGTGCGTGTCTGTGTCCATGTGTGTAGTGAACTTCGAATCAATGTGAATGAACTTTGCAGTCACCAGAGAGAATCACCAACACGCATAATAGCTTTTCCTAACTTGTCATTTCGCTATAAAGAATAAGTTCTTTTTAATTCAGAAAAAGAAAATTTTTGTTTGAAAATGTTGTGTTTTGAGAGTATTGGTCAAATAAAGTTCACAACGCGAATTAGACTAGATGATTTCGAGCACGGGACGTCAGTTGGAGTAATTATAATCTATTGGTTTCGACAGGGGATAAGTGCTTTAGTTTATACTATAACCATAAAACCACAATGAACACAATTAAATTCAAACTTATTCAGCTACTGGTTTGTTGTGGTCCACAACTGACTGATTGTGTTCATACATGCCCGTAGCCAAATTGATTGATCGATCGATCGGTTGATCGATTGACTGACTGTTTGAACGCTGGTTTGACGGCATTCGTAGGTAGTGTGACGTGTGAGCCAGTGTCGGTCTGCCTGCCTGCCTTCCTACACGCTGACTGTTCTTGCTTGTTCTCCGGTTTGTGTACCGGCTGCATATTTGCTTAATTCTGCTTAAGTCGCTGTGTGTTCAATCGCCTACACAACAGGTTAATAACGGTCGAGATTTGGACTCCGGCACCACGATCAACATCGCAGATTTGCACTGGGTAAGAAACTACTTAGATGTCACAGTTTCAGTTTCAGTTTAAACTACCATTAACTATGCACTTTCGTGCGGCGGTTTTAGTGACCATCATCCCGAGGTCCCCAGCCGGGAGCTTAACGGGACCTGTGTGACCCAGTGTCCTGGTTAGGGTTTTCATATCCTCATGCCAGGTCTTCGTTGGACAAAAAAATTAAAGAAAAGAATCAGCCACTGAGTGTGCACACTGGCTGAATTCGTATATGCTCGTTGTCTGAATGACTATATAGTTGCCATTCATGAAGAGCCGATTTCTTTTCAATGGTTGTTACTCATCATACAAATGTAGCACAGATATACTGTTACATGGAGGTGTGCGATTCTGTTTGTTTCTTTCTTGGCTTTGGAATATAAAAATTAAAGAAAGGAATATGTTTGCATTATTCCACTTGTAATTTGTACATACCGCACTGTCACATAAGAATATTTCCATTAGCTCAGGTGATCAATGGGTTAGGTGCATCAACCTTTGTTTAACCATCGTCATTTCTCCTTCTTCCGACCCGTGACATTCCCTCAGACAACTTGTTCGTCACTCGCCAAAGTTCGTCGCCAAGTAGCCCGGTAAGTACTTTACCACAAAATAGATTGCATATTCTGAAGCCTCGTCAGCCACTGAATCTGGGGGCCTTCAACGTGAGGACTCTGATGCAGGTAGATCAACAAGCGTGTTTGGCGCGTACAATGGACTCTTTGGGGATTGATGTTTGCTGCGTGTCGGAGACTCAAATCCAGGATCCTAGTACTATATACCACTTAAGTGCACCGGGGTTATCTTCGAGGTTCTTCCTTCGCACGTCAAGTGCTGACGAAACCCGTTCAGTAGGCCAGCGTGGTGTAGGTATTTTACTCTACAATACAGCCAAAGCCGCAGTACTCGATAGGATCCCCGTCAACAGTGGCTTAGGTGCGATGCGGCTACAACGGTCTATCAGCGTCCGGAAGGGAAGTAACACCAAAAAATGTTCATTCATCATTTTAGCGTATGCACCGACCAACCGTAGTTCTGACGCACAAATGGATGAGTTTCATGATAAACTCACCGAACTCATTCGGTTGAGCCGGAGCTCCGATATATTTGTTCTCGCAGGTGATTTTAACACGCAAGTTGGAAAACGGAGCGCATCGGAAGCTTCCCTAGGCGGTCGTTGAGCTCTGCCCTGACGGCGAACAGATAATGGCGATCAATTTCTTCAGTTTTAGCAGATCATCATCTGTTTCTATCCAGCACCAAATTCCGACACAGCTCTCAACGGATAGCAACATGGCGCTCAAATTCAACTGGCACGATAACTCAGATTGACCACATAGAATTAAGCTGGCGTGGCTCAGTACAAAACTGCAGGTCCTATTGGACCACCGGCGTTGAATCTGATCATACGTTAGTCTTGATGTGGTTCACTCTCCAACTCACTGGTCGCAGAACAAGTCACCGAAATCGGTTGACATATCATCATTTACCTGACCCAGCCGTTCGTGCCCATGTTGAATCAGAACTAGGGCAACATATAAAAGAGCTGCGGGATGGTAGTGTAGATGAACAGTGGGATCAGATTAGCCGAGCAATGCACTCCGCAGCGAGAGTTGCTTGTGGATCTAAAACGGTAGCTCGCCCGAGGCACTGGATATCTGATCAGTCAGTAGTACTGATGAAGAAAAAGCGGCAAATCCCGTCCGCCCGGGATCAAGGCAGGTGGAGTCTGCAACGTCAACTCAAGAAGAGCCTCAAGTCAAGTCAAGTCATGTTAAGGAATGGCTTTATACACCTCGAGAGGTGGATAGTCAGCAACCACATAAAAACAGTGTTTCAATAAAAAGTGAAAAAATACAACACAGCAGTTGATGGACTTGAAAATGACAGGAACATCAGAAACCAATGGCATATCCGGGTATTTATGATCGATTTAGTTTAGTGCTTTGCGCAGATTTCCTGTAATGAGTTCATGGTTTGTTAGAAATCTGGCAAGATGTGGGACAAAAGAGTGCCTGTAAACTTCAGTGCCTGTGTTTATAACTTTGTTAGTGGAACGGGCGGATGAGTGAGAAAGGCACTGATTAAGGGCGGAATAAAGAGGATGGGAAATATCAGATAAAATCTTGTTGGAGAATATTTCACGGGACGTGAGATGATGTGTCACCACATACTGTACCAGATGTTCCAGTGGTATGAGACTACAAACTGATGGAAATTTGACAGATCGGGAAATGAGTTTAAGATCCTTGTTAAAATGACCAGGGGACCCATAAAGCTAGTGAGGCAAAACTCACTCAAAACCAAACCATCCTATGAGATGGTTTGGAATGGAAAGTGATTTAAGACGTACAACATAAAACGTGAGCCTCCTGACCTTCAGAAAAATGTCATTAACGTAGTCAGACCACGTGAGGTTATGGTTGAAAATAACGCCAAGGTATTTAACAGATAGTTATCGTTCCATCTGGTCACTGAGAGTAGATAAAGGCGGGCTGGCATTTGACAATTAATCATACTTTTGCCCTTTCAAAACATATGCGTACAGCCTTCCTTTTCTTATCCAGGTTGGATAAAACATAGTGGGATAGATAAGCAAGGGCATTTAAGAGACCATGGGAATGGGTGTATGCAAACTGGTTCGGGTGACCAACATTGAATTGTGTCGACGTAGTTGATCGTGAGTCCCTTATGGGTTCACTCATTCGCAAAGGAATGCCACAGAAGTAAATGAACATACTGATTTCACTCTACTCACACACCTATGATAGCGTAAGGGTCTACGGCAAGCTGAGTCGGTGTTCGTCAAGGGTGCCCTCTTTCGCCATTGCTGTTCAATTTCGTCATAGACGAAATACAGGAAAAACCCACTCAGTGGTCTCCAAAACGTAGGTATTGAATGGGCAGCTGGAGCAAATCTGTGCGATTTGGAGTACGCTCACGACATCGTCTGCTTGTACGAATGTAAGGAAGATGCACAAAGAGCACTTGACAGATTAGCAAGTTCTGTCGCTCCGTTCGGCATCTGCTTTGCACCTTCAAAGTGCAAAGTGATGCTACAAGACTGGGTGTCGTCGATTTCTGTTCTGAAACTAGACGGTCAGCAATTAGCTGAGGTTGACTGCTTCTCGTACCTAGGTAGCTGCGTGACCAACGACGGTAGCGCATCAAAGCTGATGACCGCCCTCATCTCCAAGGCTCGAGCAGCATATGTAGGACTGAAACACCTGTGGTAGCGACATGACGTTTCACTAAAATTGAAAAGTCGCGTATACTGTGCCACTGTACGATCAGTTCTGCTTTACGGTCGATAAATTTTGAATTTGTGGGTAGAAGACACCAGTCGTTTAGCAGTGTTCGACAATCGATGCTTACGTAGTCTGGCCCAAGTGAGATGGAGTTAGCGGGTTAGTAAATTAGAAGCAAGTCGTCGGGTGTTTGGGAAGGCATCTAACACTAACCCACTATCGCATCGAGTTCAGCTCTATAGGCTTCGTTGGTTAGGACACGTGATGCGTATGTCCGACGGTCGCCTACCGCAGCGCGCCTTATTTGTAGTGGCTGTTGCAGACTCAAGAAAGCCACGTGGAGGCCAACAGATGACGTGGCGACGAGGCATGAGGAAATGCACGGAGCGATTAGGTAAAGTAGGTGTCTCTCGTCTTCCGGGTTGGGGTTCAAAAGACTTCGAAACAGCATGGTTGGAGACACTGAAGGTTATGGCTGCGAATTGCTGTCACTTCTCATCAGACCAGAATGCTTGAAATAGTATGTATGTACAATTGGACTGTGTACTCTGTGTGTTGACCATAGAGGTTCGCTTTCTTTTCCCGTCCCTAAAAATAGGCCCAATCCCTGTCCTCCTTACACATTCTCACTTATGCCTTATGAGTTTAGCAGCAATCAGTGAAGTTCGCTTCACTGCATTACGCTATATAATGATGAATGATGATGATCAATAGTGCATGAAAATGGCAACCTGAAGGTCCTGAGTTCGAAACCCAGCATGGCAGTTCATCTTGCCCATTTATGTATTACCCTGGGTGGCTTTTGCATGACCGCGGCCCACTACCGGACTGCACATTTGTAATAAAAACATGAAAACACTTATCAGACCCTGAGGGAAAGCGAGGCCTTGTTATCTACTCGGAAAATGTTCGTACGCAAAGTACCTTTAATATTATCTACTGGGATTGCATCTCACCGGCCGTTTTCTCATGACAGGTGATGTTTCGAACAACGTCAGAAGGCAAATTTCAATATCCGGAGTGGTAGCCTAGCCCATGAACCACGGACAGCTAGCTCTACTGGCTAGAATGGGAACCCTTAGACCAAATGTCTGAGAATAGGGGTTACAGATTCGCTCCAGGCTATACCCACAAGACAACCACCCGCTCAAGTAAGCCGGTATTAGATACGCCGAACGTAAGAATTACATCCGAATAGATATCGCCACCAAAATGAATGGAATTCTGACACCATACGATGAGCCAGGCGTTGGCTAGACAAATCCCCTCAAAAAAACCTTCTCACGATCGGACAACTGCTTTTTGTTGTAAAGTCTTTCTATAAAGCAAATTGTTTTAGACACATTTTGGAGTTGGTAACTATACAGCTCGTGTGGTAGTGCGAACACAATTTGTATGCCTTCTTTTTACCTTAGATTGTTATCGATTTACAATATTGAGTTCACTCTATATCAAAATAGTAAATTTAGAATAATTCACTCGATTGTTCATACGCACCAAACTCTGTGAACGGTCTTGGGTGTGAGTTTCACTTATTGGGAGATCGATAATTTCCCCACTAAGTGAATGTTTTTATGAGCGATAGACAGATTTGTGATGACCGACAAAGCGCGGTGAACAGCTGTTTCGTCCTTAGTCTGAATTGCTTAAAACATTTGGTACGGGGTGGTGGCCGTGTAGATCAGGGGTACTGGTTTGAAGTCCGGACCCTAATATTCGCGGTTCGAGGCCTGACAGGGACACAAAACGTACGCACAGCTGACGAGTCCCAAACAGCTGTCCAGTGCTCTTTGTCGATCATTGCAAATCTTTCCTTCGTTCTATTTCATTTGTTCCAATAACTGGTCTGGTTGGAAGGTTTGAAGAAATCACTGTTGTCGGAATAATATGTGATGGATTTTCATCTAGCTTACAGAAAGTGTATTTAGCGTTTACAAGCTTAAAACCTCAAAAGGTTTGCTGATTGCAGGTCAGTTGTTGAGTATCTTTTGCCGGGGTTCACTCGGTGCTGATGAGTAAGCGTAAAATGAAGTCAGTGGATTGGAGAAAATCATCGAGTTTCGCACAAAATAATGCACGAGTTTAGTGGAAGAATCGAACGTTCAGTGAGTGTCAGTAACTTTGGACGCCAACTCGTACAACTGCCCGGTCAGACTAGGTTGTCATAGTCGGGACTTGCGTTTCACATGTCTGCTTCGAAACGCGATACTTGCTAGTGCATATAGCAGTGGTTGGAAGGTCAAAGGTGGTCGTCATACTGTGATCTAATATGTAGGAATGAGGAAACCATAAGTATACCAGACTCAGTAAGTCATTGTTAACGTTGGCTTGATGTCCGAGGGCAGCTGTTGATGCAGTATCGTACCTTGAACCTATATACACTTTCCCAAATTCTGATTTTATTTTTAAAGTAAATTTGTGTTGTGGACACTCGCTAGATTTTTGTTTTTCATTTTTGATCTGGTCGCCATTGATAGATAAATACTTTACTGTATGTAGTATAGTTCACGCTGCAAAACAGCTGCACAGATCTCGTTCAATCACGTACTTTCCAGTGGAATCAGATTATTGTCCAAATATTGTTCGATCGATTGTGGTATGTGAACAATGTTCGGGTCCAGACTGAAACAATCGTAACAAGCTGGACGACCACTCTGTTTCGGATCGATCTGGACCCCGTTAATTTCCAATTCGTCCACACAACCAAACAGTCCGGTAATCGGTGCCTGAGAATGCAAAGTAGTATATAGGGTGTATCGATAAATGTTTGAAAGATGGAACAATAGATGAGTAAATGCATGGGTGGACTAATAGGTGGATGGATGGATGGATGGATGGATGGATGGATGGATGGATGGATGGATGGATATCTAACCGTTTTGTTTCATGGACAAGTGCAGTTGACCACGGTGATACAGTGTATCTCGACCTCTGCAAGGCATTTTATCGAGTGAACCTCAAAATACTGCTGGGAAACTACAGCATTATGAACATCAAGGATACGTACTGGGTTGAATAGAAGAATTTCTTCCACAACACCTAATGGCAGTTCGGGTTTCTGGGTCGCTTTCTGATCCTATCAGCGTTCCATAGGGATCAGTGCTCGACCCACAACATTTTTCAGTTTTCACAAAATTATCAACGGGCATTCTGAGACCGCAAACATTAATGTTTGCAGATGATGCAAAAATATGGAAAACAGTAAAAAACCGCTGGCACGTTAGAGAACATTCAATGCATCTTATCAATGGTCAGTCGAAAATGACATTGAACTCAATGCATCGAAATTTACGGTTGCATTCCTTCGTCAAAACTCCTACTTCCTGGGATATCAACAACTTCCGTATGCTTTGAATGAGAAAGACCATGGTATCATCGTTTAAGACAATCTAAGTTGTTCTATAAACTGCTCCATGGCGTCAACTGTAGCTGTAAGACATGTTGGCTTGCTTACGTGAGTATTAAAAACATTTAAACCTATGCTGTTCCCACATTTGTTATTAGCCTACATTCGACCCCAGATAGAGTACACTATTCAAGCGTGGAATCCATGGCTACATCACGGCCGTCAGTAATTGAATGTCCGCAAAGAATGACCACCAAGGGGCTGCATTCCAAAACGTATATGAGAAGACTGTAATGATTGGGGTTGTATTTCACCCGGTATCGCCGAACTCGGGCAGACTTGATTTTCGTGTATCAAATAATGCAGAATCCTGACCATCCGTTACATCTTACATTAAGTGCATACGGGTGAAAAAGAGGACGCACATGGTTATGTGATTAGTGCATTCCCTACAATTGGATGTAAATTTTGATTAGTGCAAATACTCAGCTCATTTGTATCTCTTATTTGTGTTCCTGTGAAAAAGAAACTTACAATATTTGTGTCTGGATCCAAATTCAGCTTTTGTCCGGAAGGTAAGCCGCCAATAAATGCCAGTATTGGTTTTAAGTCGGATTGTAAAGGAGGAAGCCACAAATCTCGACCGTCGAATAACATCTAAAACGAGAGGAGCAGACGATTTGGAAAGAGGAAAACTTTATTTTTGAGCAGTACGTGTACACAGTTTTTGGAATTGCCCCGGTCGATTGACTGTGACAAAAAAACACTCATTCTGACAAACATGCAGTATTGTTGTTTGGTCATTCGTTTTGGGTTAATGATCTCGTCCCTCATGCGTCGCGATATACCGATATGTCAGTCAAAGTAAAAACACTTTCAATTTTATTGATTACAGCGATACGTTGATACTCTATCAGTATTGTTTTTAAAAATGTCATACTAATTTCGATGCAAACAACGACTACTCTGTTTACATCGATGAAAAGCCGCTCAAGCGTTAACCAGTTATCGCGATACTTTCAATCTTCATTTGAAGGCCTAATCCGCTTCAAAACTATTGGCGAACAGCATATTTTGGCATACTCATACAGGAATAGAATATCCGGACAGTGAAAATGACAACAGCGTCATCCGCGGGGTGCGACAGAACTTCAACGGATAAGTGATACCAGCACTGAAAAGTCCCATCAAACAGCAATCCACAGCGCCATAAAAATGAAGCACGTTCAAAGAAGGCGGCGAAAAAATCCATAGAGTACTGAAAAGAAATGGAGCAATTCTGGGCGGAATATATCCTAATTTATGATCAGTTATTGGTTTTGACGAACGTTACTTGTGCTTCATTTTCAAATGTGACGCTCAGAACACCCGGTCAAGCATACATCGAGGAAGAAAAAGATGTGAGTTTCACTCTGACTGGAGGGTGTGTCGGTAGTGTATACCAACCGGCTCGTTTGTAGTTTGCTTATTGACTCCTCGCAATCGATTTGAGTTAACAGATGGTATTCTGTAACTTGTTGCGTAACAATCGGGCACTGAAACTGACTGACATCTTAAGAGGCCTAGTTCAGCAATTCGGAGCAATATCGGTGTGAGGTCGTTGGAACAGTGGTAAAAACATAAATGTTGCATGCCAAAGGTTAGGTGATTCAAACCTTGGATAGACCATTTCTTGTTCGTCAATGATGAACTAGGAGGAGATTAAAGCCAAGCCTGATGCTTCCGCCGTATAAGATCGATTGCTTAAACTGAGAATCATACATGAGCAAACGGTAAGAATTCCCTGCCTACTGGTTTTTGGTTCGTGAGTTCAAAACCAACTGTTCTCGCTCTGCATTGTTTCAAGGCCTTCAACTGATTTCGGCTTCCTTTTTGAATGTTTGTTAGATATTTGCTATATAACAAATACACGTAGGTACTAACACTATTATTAATAAGACGAACTGTGAACGATGATCAGGCAAAATCAACCATAATATGACTACTGACAAACAAATGTGAGATAGAACGCCTCTAGGAGGATAACTAATTCTACATACGCGCGTGTGCAGTAAACCGAATTGGCAATAATCGGTGTTTGGAGCAGGAAGAAAGGCAAAATATATTGTATAATGGTTCCCTAATTTTTCACTGTGAGACTGACAAACATCAAATCACATGATGATGACCCGTAACAAATAGATCGGATCTCTCTTGTTTGGTGCATAATGTGCCCGATCCGCAATTAACCTATTCCCCTAGCGTGAACCGCTCGTTTTTTTCGCAATACAAGTGCATGCTGGGACTAGACGATTTGAAACATCAACGCGAAATTCATGGAGAGATCCATATTTTGCATGAAGCGATCGGAAAAATTATAAATCTGTTTATTATACAAGGAAATTTAGATTTCTGTATTGGCAACCCGGACGGAACATCGCACATAGTAGCCTGGTATTGTACTTATCTCCGGCCCGCCTGTTCCCGAACTTACGCATATAAGGCTAGATGGGAACCGACAAGCAAAACTAAGATGCTAATTCGCTGGACACGAGGCATCAGGACCATATCATTATCATTTCATACCAAATTTGCAGTGCGGGATCACCTCAGTGAATTCCAGACGTACGCCTGTAGAGCTGTCGGATTTTGGACCAACTCATTATGCGTTTTCAACTTTCGGTGTAATCACTTCAAGTCTATCGCATGCTAAACCACTTTTTAAATCGTTTTTGTTGTACAACCCTTCTGTTATGCAGACAGTTTGAAGTCAGTTGCACAAACATTAAATTAAACAATTTCGTGGGGAATGGAAGAGGCAAGCGTCAAAAGAGATTGGATCTCACCAAACACACAACAATCATGTCAGTCAATCAAGGTTACTGATTCAACGCCTCATCCCACCGCTAAACGACCGATATTCATCTTCGACAAGTAAATTTTCTAAAGTATAAAGATTGTACTACACAGTGATTCCTGTTATCAATTTATTTTTCATAATATTACAAGCTCACTATCAATTAAAAGCTTCTGATTGTTGTACGTTCCGAAGATCATGTGTGAAGGAAAAATCAGTGCACATTGTGTTCCCTTTGTTTGAAACCCCCGCATCACCTGAAACGCTTGATTACATTTGATACGGTTGGTCACCTGAATTCATTCGCTACATCTGACATGTTCTTTCTTAATACTGGAAATTGGAATTGAAGATAACATAATTCAGTTACAGACTAATTTTTCGAAACAAAATATCGCCAAATACAATCGCAACTCACATGTATGCCTGACTCAACAGCCGGCCCATTCAATTCGTTCGCTGTTGCTGCACCAGCCGGAGCCCCGTTCCCATTGGTTTCGGCCGGACTGGTCAGAATCAACTGATGCCAATTGGTATCGGCGATTGTCAGATGTGGACTGGACCAGAGTACGTTTTGACTGTTTGTGAGGAATATTTGACTTTCCGATACAATCAGATAGAGATTTTCCACATTCGGGCCGAAATTGAACGCGGCCAGTAGACTGTATCGGAATGTTGGTAACGGGGAGCCACTGTTCGCAGTTCCGCTGGTGCCACGGCTCAACTGGGCACGGAAACCGATTTTGAAAACAAACGGCCCATCACTGAACAAAAAGGGTGTGTGGATAGACAGGAAACTGGGGGATAATAGGACAGTAGTGCGCTACACAAATGTAAACAGAATCCAAGCTTGAGAGAAGTGGAAGATTTACCTTGTTTATCAGAAGAATTCGCAGTGTAGATGAGGAATGAGATGAAAGGATTGGAAGCATTGGACAGCTGTTGTGACCTGGTTAGGTCTCATCAGCAGCACAAATCCATCGACCCAAACCATCTATTCGAGCTTTTTGCAAGTATCGGTCCTCGCTCATCTCAGCACTAGCCTCCAGGGTTACGAGTTAGTTGAAAACTTTCTAAACTGACCATTTATTGTATGAGAGAAATAGAGGATTTGCTTGCTTATATGATGAATTGTTCGTGTAAAGGAGGCATGAGCTGAAAATCTGTGCTATACTATATATATTTCAAGTGAGAAACGGTCTGATCAGTTGCCCAGTAGCCAAGTGGATAGTATGCTTGTAATCGATCGATGAGGTCCTGGATTCGATCTCCAGTTGTGTCCATAGATTCGCATTGCTACTGATCAGATCCAACCAGGTAGAAACAGTTGTCCAGTGCTTCGAAGCTTTCCACCTCACGTCTCAGTTACACGAGGAATTTATCAAGTATGTCCCACGACAGAGTGAGATTAGGATTTGATTCCCGTGGGTTCTTCACATTTGTGAGTAGACAGAAAATACTGCTTCATCGCTGAATCAAATAATCAGAGTTTTGGTTTTCGTGTATCACCTGTTTACTGGGTAAGTAAGTGATAGAATAAACAACCATACGATGTGTATTCGTGTTAATGATTTGTTTGACCTTGTTGTTCGGTGACCTTTCTTTCCTTGCAGATCACATAATCAAAACACCAGGATTCTGAATACTCCCAGCAAGTCTTTGCGGGTTACAATGAGCCATTATACTCCAGGCAGTTCCGAATTCAGGCAATAGCTCTGACGCGATACAACTGGTCTATCCAGTACCAAAATTACGAAAACAGTCATTTTCCGTCCATGTAAGACCTTTTAGAGAAAAGCTTTAACCGAATCCACATAGATTCTTTACACCGATTTCAATGAGTGTTTATCAACGACCAGCACTTGTTCCAAATTCGGGCACATATATATGCTCGAACTTCGGCGCACGAATCCTCCGCCGTATCTTAGCTTACTTGGTTCCTCTCTCGTCCCAAACGTGGTTAGAATGAACTAAAAATTAAGTTGAGTAAATTGTTGTTGACTTGACTAGGCTTGACTAACGAGGAGCTTGTATCTGTTAGTCCTTATAGGTTTTACACCAGTCGTTTATGCGCTCGTGCTCGTATATTTCATTCTCGATCGTATCTACACCTATACGGAGTGGGTTCAATTCCTTTTCTGTATTTCTGTACTGCATAACAATGAAATATATGTGACATATTTGCATATACACCCCTAGAAGTTCGTTCATCCATATCCATGACGCACACTCGATCAAAGATCACGAACATAAAGTTTGGATGTATGTCACGTTCCCGGGTGGAACGGGTGTGTGAGAAGGGGGGGTAGAACGGCCCNCCCCCCCCCCCCGCCCGCCCTTCCCGAAACATTTAAACATGCTCGGTCACTCACCAGAAAAGTACTTTTGTTTGTTTACGGGGAAGTGAGTTCATTTGGACTGGACGGGGTTTAGACAGATCCTATCCAATGGGTGACATTTAACGGCCGAAACACCAATAATCTTGTGGGGTTCCCAATGGAGTGCGATTGGTTCGATTCACTTGAAATTACAACGGATTTACTTAAATTTGAAAAGGTATAAAAATCATTATCATTGTGCGGTCATCGAATCCGGTGGAATCCTTACTTGGATCAATTAGTTGTCCTATGTATAGCGACTGACGTCGTTATATGTGTGTCACGTAGAGACACATGATATCTATCCAGAAGCTCAAGAAGTTTGTCAGTGACCGTGTAGCTTAGTGTCAAAGACTTTGAAATTTGAACTTTGAAAGATTTTGGTTTGAAAAAGGTGACCAATTCCAACTATCCTGCGTTGTTTGTCAACCATCCCAGTCAATATCATCTCATTCCGATCAAGGTCAATTGAAGCTTACCAGCCACTGTCACAGACTGTTAGGTTCGAAAGATTAAATTTCTTCACACGTGCAACTGACCGGTAATTCCATTAACCAGAAAAGTGCCCAATTCTCCATGGAGGGGTGTGTAGGATCCACTAGTTGGTACAATGATCACGATCTTCACATACTCGCTATCACATGAGAACGAATGGTGGAGTGAAACTGTCAGCGGCACATCGGAAGGACAGAACGTCATTTATCAGCCTGAATGTGTGAACATATTCTGGAGCACCTTGGTTCTCGCGGAGAGAAGCTACGATTTAGTGCGATAGGCCATCGTTTTTTAGATTCCGGTCACCATGTAGAAGCACCCGAAGCGTTTCTAGTCATCGATCGGCCTCGAAGTTCACGGACTTCTTAGAAGAGATAATTATTCATCGCTTGAAACCGCAATTATGTCGAAAAAACATTTGTGACGCAACTGTTGTTGCCGTGGTTGTGATGGTGTCACTCTTGATACCACCCTCCCATCACCACATTCACCACAGCGTTTGGACCAGTTCACCTCTATATCAAATTTTATCATCTAACTTAACCTCACCCCTCTAACCAAACACAAATCACGGAACTCGCTTGTCCACCACCTGGTTCAAATGACTCATTTCAACTCTCATGTTTTTTTCACTGTACATGATCATATAAATGTGCGCTTACAGCTGAATGAGAACACGCGAAATTGATGGCCACTATCAATTCTACTCGTGTTGATGAAATGGATAACGGAAAAAGGATGTTTTGCATATTTCATGAAAACAACTAACCTGTCCCGGATCCGTGCTCCCAAATCGGACAATTGCCAGTAGGAATTTGTTGTCTGATCAAACCAGGCGGTATTTTCCGGTTTCGCTGTACAATCCTAAAGAAATGAGAGATGGGGAAAACACAAATGAATAAAGATTTCTATTCGCTAATTCATCTGACACTGATCTACACACACACACACACACACACACACACACACACACACACACACACACACACACACACACACAC